AAACTAGACGTCTCTTGCACCACCACCTAGAAGAGTTTGAAGAGACGATCTCTAGCATTCATATCGGCGTAGTGCAGATCCACGAAGTGCAAATCCATGGATTACAACGTTAGTGGCTTGCGGGGGGGGGGGGGGGGTGGATTGGAGGCAACACATGGAAGATTTTATTTCAGTTCCGAAAAACCGATCTCCTTAATTTCCTCTTCCTCTTCTTCTTCCTCTCATCGATTTTGTTTCCATCACTTTCTTTCTCCCTCTTATCGGTGGGTTTAAAGGAGAAAGAGGAAGAATTTTTCTACTGGAAACCACCCTAAACACTACCATCTCTGTTGGATATGAAACTCCCATCAGAAACACAAATTTGAACCGCCACCAACTTCTTTCTCTCTCTACTGTTGCTTTTGTTCTACGTCATCCATTGAGGGTGGATGGTTTCATGATCTCGTCGGAGTATTTCGGGGACGCCGATCATTAGAGAGGAAGATGAGTTCGAAAGGAAGATGAATAGGTGAGAGAGAATGATCGAATCTGGGAAAGGGAAAGGAGGGGTGGGTGGGTTTGGACATAATATTTTTTTTATTTTTTTATATTAATTTAAACTGATAAATAGATTAAAATAAATTTAAAAAACAAATTATTAAGGGCAAAATAGTTATTTTATGTCAATAGGGATTAAGCGTGCAAGAAAAAACAAAATTAGGGATGATCCAAGTTAATTTTTAAAAATAAGGACTAAACATGCTTTTGATGATAAGGACGAACGTTGTAAATTACCCTAAATTAATCGACATTCTATGTTTTCTAGTTGAAATGGTAGGTTTGGGCCCAACCCAAAAATGAAAGAATTCGAATTGGAAGAGCGGGGGAAAAGTGGGAAACAAACACTTCGACTGCCGTTGCGATTTCAATTTGAAATCATATTCGATATCATCCCTCTCATCTCACATCCACTCTCATTCATCAATCCGCCATGGAAGACAAGTACGAGAAACTGGAGAAGGTAGGAGAAGGGACCTATGGAAAAGTCTACAAAGCCAAAGACAAGCAAACCGGCCAACTCGTCGCTCTCAAGAAAACTCGTCTCGAGATGGACGAGGAAGGCATCCCACCCACCGCCCTCCGCGAGATCTCCCTCCTCCAGATGCTCTCTAATTCCATCTACATCGTCCGCCTCATCTGCGTCCAACACATCCACCATAACGGCAAACCGCTTCTCTACCTTGTCTTTGAGTATCTGGACACCGATCTCAAAAAGTTCATCGATTCTCATCGCAAGGGCCCTAATCCATCTCCCCTCCCTCCTTCTCAGATCCAGAGCTTTCTGTTTCAGTTGTGTAAAGGTGTTGCTCACTGCCATGGTCACGGTGTTCTTCACAGGTATATATTTCCTTAATCTCTACCTCTCATATTCCCCTGCCCTCTTTTTTTGTTTAGTTTAATAATTGTTGGAAAAAAAAAATCAGAGATCTGAAGCCACAAAACTTGCTGGTTGACAAAGAAAAGGGGATTCTAAAGATAGCCGATCTAGGTCTTGGAAGGGCTTTTACTGTTCCTCTCAAGAGTTATACTCATGAGGTCTTGCTTGTCTTCTTCTTCTTCAATGATGTTGATTAGGTTAGACTTGGAATGCAAAATTTGATGTTTTGGTTTGCAGATTGTTACGCTTTGGTACAGAGCCCCAGAGGTTCTGTTGGGATCAACTCATTATTCCACTGGCGTTGACATGTGGTCTGTTGGCTGTATCTTCGGTCAGTATTAATTCCAGATCCTTTTATTCCACCTTCTTATATACACAATCTACAACCACGTTTCTCCTTTTTTTTCTTGTTCGTAATCTCTATCTCATGGGCTCTGTGAGTAGCCTTAAAGTAATACCCCCAATTGTTTCTTATTAGGAGCTGTTGTCATAATCTTTCCCCCTACACATTGGCTTTAAATTTGGGACCAAACCCAGATGGCATCCAAATATCAAAGTCCTGTCTATTTCTTGATTGTAGGCCATTTATATTATTAACCTGGGTAGTAATTTCTCACAGCTGAAATGTCAAGAAGGCAAGCTTTGTTTCCTGGTGATTCTGAATTCCAGCAACTGCTTCATATATTCAGGTTTATACTTAATACATACAACTTTACATGAAACGACATGCTTCTCTGTTATCTCAAACTAGACAATATGAAAGGGTGGCAAATTGTTTGCATTTCTGCTAATTGTGATTCTTGAAGGATTTATTTATATGAAGTGAAGAAGAAGGCAACATTGATTTTATTTCATTTTTGGTTTGTGGTTGCAGGTTGCTTGGAACACCAACAGACCAGCAATGGCCAGGTGTCACATCTCTAAGGGACTGGCATGTGTATCCGAGGTGGGAGCCTCAGAATTTGGCACGTGTAGTTCCATCATTAGGACCTGATGGGGTTGACCTTCTATCGGTATTATACTTTATACATCTCTCAAACAAGATTCTTGATATCTTTCTTTCAGTTGTGTAATGTAAGATGTATTTTTTTACATGATTACATGATTTTGTTGTTTTCAGAAAATGCTGAAATATGACCCTGCTGACAGAATCTCAGCCAAAGCTGCTATGGATCATCCTTATTTTGATAGCCTTGATAAATCTCAGTTCTGAATTACATTATCTATGTGATTGGGTTTGTAATTTGAGGTTTGAAGTGAAGAATGTCATCATCACCTTGGTGATTTTAGTGTATGATTGATTGATATAAGAGATTTCACAATATATGTGTGTTTTAGTGTGCTAAAAGTTCATTCAAGTTATTGTTATTTGTCATGGGATAGAGCTCTGGGGTTCATCGTGCTTGTTGGTTGGGTTGTGAAAGTCCTAAACTCCTCATGGTTTAACATCAGTTTGGTTTTACTTTACCAAAAAAAAGGTGAGATGTGATGTTTAACAGTTTAGGATGTTAATTAAGAAACATTTATGATTACAAAATATAAGAAAATGGTAATTATTAGGTGTATTTTATATGAATTTTGAGCTTTTAAGCTATTGGTAATTAACTAATGTTAGACCTCAAACCAAAAGAGGTCAGGGCTTTTCCAAATCTACTCAAGTCTCATTTCTTTGGGAAATAAATTTATTAAGGTAATTAATTTATCAGTTTGTTCATATATGGATAATTATTTTTTTTTTGTATACATTTAGATAATGAGTTTTTTGGAAGTGTTCATTTGATTATAACCGGTTATAATGGTTATATGTGAACATTTTTAAAAAATTCGTTATCTTGATGTGTACAAAGAAAAAAAAGTTGTCCAAATGGGAACATTCCGAAAAGGTAAGAGATTCAAAAAACTATTTTGTGTTTGGTTCCTAACTTATTTTTTAATTCGGAGGATCTTTACTATTTATTTTTGTTATGTGTTTGGTCAATATCATATCTCAAAAGACTATTGTGTCATTTTTAACTTATTTTTTTATTTATGTATTTATTTTTTATATTTTAAAAAAAGTTAATATACCTTATATATCTGTATCTCTTCATCCTAAATATAGTAGATGTTTGGTTTAGCTTTTGTGGGACAAAAGTTCTTTTTGTAAAAGAACTTTTTGGAAAAGGATTTTTTACAAATGTTATTTTTTAAAATGTGTTTAGATTAACTTTTGAAAAGAAAAACCAAAAGTTAAAGTGTTTGGTTTAACTTTTACATGTAAAATGACAAAAAATAACATGTTTACATATTTATATTGATCTACTACTTTACATATATTATTTTATACTTAAATTTTTTTTAAACACATATTATAATTTTATAAACATTTTATTAGAAAATATAAAATATAAATTTCTTTTAAAATATTTCTAATTTTTTAGATTATACCATGATAATATTAAAATTACAACGCTCATACAAATTGTAAATAATTTTATAAACATTTTATTAGAAAATATAAAATATAAATTTCTTTTAAAATATTTCTAATTTTTTAGATTATACCATGATAATATTAAAATTACTACGTTCATACAAATTGTAAAAAAATCATAAGAGGACTTTTTGTATTATACCATGACAATATTAGAATTACGTTCATACAAATGTAAAATATAAATTACGTTCATACAAATTAAAATATTTCTAATTTTTTGGATTAGACCATAACAATATTAAAATTACGTTCATACAAATTGTAAATAATTAATAAAAATAACATAGATAATATTACATTCATCTACGTAATGTGATTATATTATTTATCTGTAAATAAAACAATCATTTATTATTCGTTTCAAACAAGTAGTAAAAACATAAAACTTGTGTTCCAAAAAGAAAAAGAAAAAATACTAACCACCCATTGGATAGGGAAAATTAAGATCTAATCTCTGTAAGGCTTCATTGAAAATTCTTGTATCGTGTGCAGTCCCCTCCTAACCGGCCCAAACAAATATAAAGCACATGTTAAAATCACAAACATCTATTATATTTTGTGTTGCATATCCCTTTCAACCAATGTACTTCACTTCATCTTTTTGTGGAACCGATGCCGTGACGTGTGTCCCATCTATAGCACCAATGCAATCCTTCAAATTCAAAAATATAACATAAATAAATTATTTGTTAAAGTTTGACTACCAAGAAAATAAACATTGGATAATACCTTGAACATTGGATAATACCGAGGGTTATTTAATATATATTCGGGAACATCATCATTATAGTTTGCGTCTGGCTTGATGATGTCGACACTCAGTTTTAGCACGGCTTCCAAAACTGTATGGAAATGCCTGTGAATCGTTTCCCCCGAATGATTAAAAAATTCTTGCACAAATCTATTGTTACACCCATGCGCCAAAGTCATCAAAAATATTCCTACATACTCCTCTATAAATACTTTTCGTGTTTGTTGTAGCCCGTAATTTGTAGCAAGATCTAAGCATAACTGTCTAAAAACTGGTACGTTGAGTCTAAACATCTCATACCAACGTCTAGGATGATCTTTTAGTACTTCTGTAATAAACATGTGCCTTGTGCGATCTCAAGTGTGACATGGCGTACGTAAGTTACGAGCGAGTATTATCCCTTTCAAAGCTAATCCACATAACATTTCAAATTCTCTATCCTCTTCCATTACACATTCTTCATTATCATTGGATGAATTAGAATCATCACTATCCATCCTACATAATACAAATAAAATGATGTCAACCATTAACACATAATATAAAGACAAACAATAACACATAATATAAAATGTCAAATACATAATGTCAAAGGACAACGCATAATGTCAAAACATAAAACTTAATGTCAAATCATATCACATATTGTTAAAGGATAACATATAAATGTCAAAGCATAACACATATGGCTAAATCATTATTTCGTAAGTAACTTAAGAAACTCCATCTTGGCTTCATCGGTCGTTGGAAACATAAAAGCTTCATGATTTTGCTTTTTGGTGAAGACAAACAATGCTTGTGAAAAATTGTTGGATCCTTCACGAAAATCGGGGAACTTGATGACAATGGCCATGCAATCTGCTATTGTTGGGGACGGATTATTTTGTGGATAAGTTTGTGTGCTTTTTGATGATATGATATCCAATAAAGCATCAACTTTTTCTTCCTAAATTGAATTTTTACTCATGGTTGGACGGTTGTTGGAAACAGACTTAAACCTCTTCCTTTTATTTGAACTACTTTCATGGAGACTAGTAAAAAGAGGTTCATCATCATCTAAATTGATTTCATCACTATCTCCTTTGCCCTCCATATTTTCTTCGTTTGGATTGCTATTGTTTTGAAATTGTAATGGAGTCATAGTTTGATCTCCAACAGCAACAGAATCCCGAAACAAAATAGCATATTTCTCATCAAATATGCTCAAATATGTGTTCCTAAATTTGGCATAATCTTTATTCTCCTGCAAGACAAAAATATATTGTAAATCAAATATGTTCAATCTATATGCAATCATAACTTAAAATAATTAAAAAGAATAGTAATCATACCTTTATTTTCTCCTCCCACCACTCGGGGGACACATCTACTAGGCTTCTCGTCCCACTGAGTCCGGTTTCAAGCCTCATTAAACGGTCATAAAGCTTCCACTCTTTTTTCATGTTCTCCCATTTGTTTGTTAGTTGTTTTTTTCAAGGCTATAACCTGTTTTCTCCTTAATGCGTTTTTGTATATTTTCCCACCCAATTTTATCAAATGAGGAAGTGGGTTTACGACCTTTTTTTTTTCAATCAAGCACAAATCAACAAACACCATGAAGCTACGATTATCCCACCCAAATTTTGTTTTTTTTTATTTTTTTTATTTTTAAAGATGTTTCACAATAAACAATTATAGCGTTGTTTTCATCAATTATCTGTGAATTACATATAGTATCAACATTTAAGCAACAAACCAATTTCATTAACCTTCCTAAATGATTTCATTAATTTATCAAATTTCTAGTCAAAACAGAAAAAATAGAATATCACAAGATATCAATTTCACAAATCAGTCATCTGTTAACACAAATATCATCCCTGAACAAAAAATTTCATCAACTTCATATTTCATCAATTTCACTAATTGTTAATTCATTTTCATCAAGTTCACAGAATAATCACTATTTCACAACATATTTCAGAAATCGGGAGGAACAAATCACTATTTTAGATGCTAGAGAGAAGAACAGTTCAAGGAAAATTCGAAATCGGGAGGAACACATTTCACAGCACATCAATTTCACAGCATATCAATTACACATCATATCAATTTCAGAAACCGGGAGGAACACTTTTCTTTGCTACTGAAAATCGGAAATAGACAAGAGGAGATTGTAAGATCAGAGATCGGAAATCGACTGGAAAAGAAAACAAACCTGATCGGAGATGGAGAAAGGCCGATGTTTCAGGTCGTTGCAGGTCGCCGATGCCACCGATGTTGCAGATCGCCGATGTCACCGGTTGATGTTGCAGGTCGAGATGCGAGAGAGATCTGTGGGTGAGTGGAGCGAATGAGGAGAAGTAATGAGACTCGTATCTGTGGATGAAGAATTAATTAGGGTAGATAAGGGGTATATTGATAATTTAACATTTTTAGCTGGTGAAAAGTTGGGAAAAGTTAGGTATATGCGACTTTTCAAGTAGACTCAAATTACTCTATGGGAAAAGTCATTTAGAAAAGTCATTTTCACCTTACCAAACATCTTTTTGAACTTTTTCTAAAAGATAAAGTCAAAAGTCATTTTAAAAGGCAAGCCAAACACCCTCATAAAACCACATTTGAAAATTTTAAGTTGGATCCCACCTATCACTAAAATCTCTCATCCTCAACTTCTATTTCCCTTCAATCTTTAGTGATGTCGATGTCTTTATCATCCCTTCTTTTTTTGGTCATTCAATTCCGACGAACCAGCACAACAGTCCATCGTTTCTTCATTGAATTTTCCACCACTACAACTCAATAGAAGGGTTGTGGTGTTGGTTGGTCGGAGTTGAATGACTGAAAAAAGAAGGGATGGTGAAGATATCGATGTCACTGAAGATGGAAAAAAAATAGAAGTCGAAGAGGATGAGAGATGGGATGGTGACCGGTGGGACCCAACTTAAATTTCTCAGACGTGGTTTCATGTTTAGGGTGAGGAGGTATAAATATCTGAGGTCTATTAATTTTTAAAATATATAAAAAATAATTACATAAATAAGAAAACTAATTAAAAAATAAATTAAAAAGGGCAAGATAGTCTTTTGAGATAACACAGTGACCAAACCCACAACAAAAATAAACAGTAAAGATCATTCAAGTTAAAAAATAAGTTAGGGACCAAACGCACAAATTACCCACAGGGACCATTCGTGTAATTTACTATTACCTTTTCAGTATGTTTACATCTGGGTAACTATTTTTTTTGTATACATCTAGGTAACAAACTTTTTTGAAGTGTTCACATATGACGATTATGATCGGATGTAACCTGCTATAGCTGATCATAATGGTCATATTTTAACACTTCCAAAAAGTTCGTTACCTAGATGTGTACAAAAAAGATAGTTACCCAAATGTAAACAAACCGAAAAATTAATTACCTTAATAAGTCTATTTCCACATTTTTTACACCATTTTCATATGTAAAATCATTTCTAACCCAACTATTTTCTTATATTATTTTGGTGTAAAATAATAGTGTTATATTATTTAGAGTAAATTACATGGATGGTTCGTATGGTTTGAGATAATTTGTGCGTTTGGTCCCTATATATATATATATATATATATATATATATATATATATATATATATATATATATATATATATATATATATATATATATATATATATATGTGGGTTCAATTGAGAAAATAAAAAAAGTTGAGAATGGGGGAATCATTCTCAGCCACTCATTTCATTAGCCTCTAAACATAAAGAACACGGTGACAAACTTGTAAATATGATATAATAGCCTTCAATCACAAATACGTAAGTGTAAAAAATTAGATAACAGTTGAAATTCATTCTAATCGATCGTTTATCATCCAAAATTTTCTTCCAACCTTCAACAATCATCCAGATTTCTTCGATTAAATCATCGATCAACGTCATCCTGTGTTAATCAATCATCGATATTCGTCAATAACACGTGTTGACAACAAAAATTCGTTTTCTGCTCTTTTAATCCAACCTTCAATTCTGCTTGAATAAAAACATATCTTCAACATCTACGATTAATTATATTCCCAGCATCATTAGAACAACATCATCGATAATCAACAAAAAATTCAATTTGTATCATTCATTCAACATCGATCATCAAATAAAACATCGAAATTAAGGTTAGAAAAAGATCAAATCATTTTTTGTTTGAAAATTTTCATATATTTCTCAACCAATCTACTATTTTGTAAGATTAAATAGTCAAAGTATCATATTTATCACATTTTTAAAAAAGTTAACTTGTATGCACTCCAACTGTTTGATGAAATGCATAAACTAAATTACCACGTTGTATTCACATATGAATATGTTTTCTCACCTGAATCAATATGTGATTATTAAAACACAAAACAAATATGCAGGTCTGTATGTTAGTCATATGTGAATAACATATAAAAATTATATATATTTCTGAAAACACCTTGCAATATTCATATATGAATATACTGTGCAATATTTGTTGGGTTAATCGGTTTTATTATTTTAGGAGTTTATTTTGTTTAGTTTAAATAATGGGCAATTAGGAAAGTAGCCATATTTAAGTCTTTTATTTTATATCCTACATAGTTTTAGAATTCAAGTAGGATACTTATTTGTCTAGTATAAATAGGATCAATGGTATGGTATTTTCTTTTATGCAAGACTTTTTCTATTTTATTTTTGTTCAAGTAATATATTGGTTTCAATTATTCCATTCTCACGTATTCTTTTTACTTGTTGCATAAGGGTTTATTTTTGCTTGTTATTTACACAAGTTTCAACCCAAGTAATCTTACACTTGGTATCAGAGCGCGGTTTCGTTGAAGGGGGTGTGATTCGAGGTTGATTAGAAACAACCCCGGTTTCTTTTAATCGGGCTTGTGAGAGACTAACCGGAGGCGTGGAGTAAACAAACGGGAAGACGTCAAAGCGGGTGGCTTTGATTCGGTTCGTTTTGCGGGTGACGGAAGACGGTAAAGGTGGTCGTGACCTTGTTTTGTTGTCCGGTGGAAGAGTGCTCTCGGAACAAGCTTGATTAAAGAAGTCGGGGTTAAGGAGAAAAAAGATGGCGTTGGTTAAAGAAGGAGGTTCGTTGACATATCAAGTTCCGGTTTTGACTCCAACGAATTATCCGGTGTGGGCCGTTAAAGTCAAGTCAATTATGGATGCACATGGCATACGGGAGACGGTCGAACCGAAGACGTTAGATAAAGCACCAGATCAAAAGAAGTCAAAACAAGCTCTTGCTTTTTTGTTTCAAGCGATACCCGAAGACATGGTGTTGCAAATGGCGAGTTACACCGACCCAAAGCAAGTGTGGGATGGGCTAAAAACACGGTATTTGGGAGTGGATCGGGTAAGAACGGCTCGACTTGCAACCTTAAAAAGGGAGCTTGAAAGTTTACGCATGAAAGAGGATGAAACGGTTGATGATTTTGTGACAAAATTATCCGGTTTAGCGTGAAGAGTAAGGAGTCTTGGATATGAGCTTGAAGAAGGTGATTTGGTAAAAAGGTTACTAGATTCGATGCCTAAGTCGTTTCTCCAAATCGTGGCTTCAATAGAGCAATGTTTCGAGTTGGATTCAATGTTATTCGATGAAGCGGTTGGTAGATTGAAGGAGTACGAGGAGCGTATAAGAGGAACTGAGAAAGTGGAGGACACTCAAGGTGGGTTGTTGTTGGCTAGTGATGAAAAGTCACATGTTTGTAAGAATTGTGGCAATGGACGTTCAAATCGGGATGACTTTGGACGTGGTCGGGGAAGAGTTCGGGGGTCCGGGAGAAGTCGAGATGGTAATGAACGTGTCCGGGATAAAAGTCACGTTAGATGTTACAAATGTGGTGAGCTTGGTCACTATAAAAACGAGTGTCCTAAATGGGAAAAGGAAGAAGCGGGTCTAATCGAAGAGGAACCGACTTTGTTTTGAACGACGAGTGGCTCGTATGACAAATCCGATTAAGGGGGTGATTGTTGGGTTAATCGGTTTTATTATTTTAGGAGTTTATTTTGTTTAGTTTAAATAATGGGCAATTAGGAAAGTAGCCATATTTAAGTCTTTTATTTTATATCCTGCATAGTTTTAGAATTCAAGTAGGATACTTATTTGTCTAGTATAAATAGGATCAATGGTATGGTATTTTCTTTTATGCAAGACTTTTTCTATTTTATTTTTGTTCAAGTAATATATTGGTTTCAATTCTTCCATTCTCACGTATTCTTTTTACTTGTTGCATAAGGGTTTATTTTTGCTTGTTATTTACACAAGTTTCAACCCAAGTAATCTTACAATATTCACATATGAATATACCAATTATTATTCATAAGTGAATATACGATCTAATATTCACAAGTGAATATACTATGTACTATTCTCATGTGATATACCATGTAATACTATATAATATTCACATATGAAAATATCATCTAATATTCATAAGTGAATATATCATCTAACATTTACAAGTGAATATACTATGTAATATTCACAAGTGAATGCATTGTCTAATGTTTAACTATGAATATACTATGTTTATTATATGCTATATTCACATATGAATGATACTAAACTGTAAAAAAAGTTAATCATACTTTTTATTCATAAGTGAATAACGATGTACTG